ACAATGTCGTTAAAAATGGTATTGCCGAAATTCAGTAAGCATTAAAGCCCCATTGTCTCTTCGTGAAGATTTTGATGCCATATAGAGCCGACTCAAAGGTTATCATAGAATTTTTAGTTGTATTTGATCATCATAATTTTCTTTCGTTCATTCAGTTTTTTGTCTTAGATCATCATAATTGTTTTGGTTCACTCAGTTTTTTGTCTTAGATCATCATAATTGTTTTGGTTCATTCAGTTATTTGTGATATTATTTGTGAAAATTCTTCCACTTTCTCCTTATTCTTGCTCTATGAGTTGGCTGCTCTAAAATTCTTTGTTCCTCTCCTATTACAGCATGCCAAATAATTTGTGAGTTATACTAAACGCCGAGTTTACGTTGAAACGCTGATAAAATCAGCAGCCACCTTTCTCAATATTACTGACACTTGTGAAATGTTTTCATTAACGTTCTTTCTCTAACCTCTTCAATTGTTTCCCATTCCATTTCTTTGCTTGGCAAGTTGTTGGACAAAAATAAAATCGTATTGTCTGGAAAATACGTTATTTTAAAATTAAGTGATATGGCGATAATGGTATAGAATACAACATTTAGAAGAGTTCATTCACCGTTTATTTAAAACAATTAGTGTTAAAGAAAATGTAAATTTCAGTTCAACTAGTGTTATAAACGAAATGAAGCACCAATTATAAGACCGGGCTCTAAATTTTTTTGTCAGCACCTATAACCTGTGGCCCTTTTTTTAAAGCAATCTGTTCAATATGTTAATTGTTAAAACTTGTTGATATATCTTTTTCTATTGGTAACATTTAGTCTTTATGATCACATGGATAGACCTTTTTTATCTGTTATCATTTCGGTTAAGATTTTTATTTAGATAAGTAACAGTAACAGACAGCTAATGATGCGAACACTGTTTTCTCGAAATCCACTCGGTCCTTTACTTTAATATAGCTTTTCACCAATATTTTTGTGGAATCAAATGTATTAGATTGAGATATTTTTTGTGAAAATTTGGAACTTTATACCATTGTTAAATTAAGATAGTTTACATTATCATAATCACTAGTCCACAACAGACCGAAACAATTTTATTGGTTTTATGTTCAATTTGAATTATTTGTATGTCTGGCCAGTAGCTATAGAAGTAATAGTACAATTTTAAAAACAGTTTGTTTTAAATTTACTGAAATACTCAGTTACATGCTGAATTCCGAGGTTTCTTCTTTGGAATAAGTATTTTATATTATATATAATATATTGATACCATCAAAATTCTACTAGCAACCCATAAGCCTTACTACAATCATCGGGTTACATACCAACGAAATATTAACGCGTTGTGTGGAAATTTCATATTCGAGGGGCATCGGAAACCTAACCCACGGTCCATCTGGAATCGAAATTTTTCCTTCAACTGAAGATGGTCTATTGATCCATTTCAAAGACATTCCCACATGTTAGAACAGCCAAGTTCTTCAGTTGATCAAAAGCTCCTCAAGTTCTCTATGAACTCTCTAAGGAATACATATTTCTAAATCGTTCTTATATTTTACTTATATATTTTATTCTTCTGACCTACATAGAAACCAAACTTTTCGAACTAAGAACGTAGAGTAGACCTCATAGAATTGCACGAAGCTGTACATCATTGCCTTAAATTATAAACAGAACGTTACCAACTGAAATGAACCTCTCTCTTAAATCTATTGGGTCCTGAACTAGTCAATGTTTTAGGTAATCAAATAGGTTCGCTTCGTATTAAATACCAAGTGTTTATCAAAAAACATGGAATTTCTCTGTAGGTGTCAAGTGAATAGTAATTGCTTTTCTTTGTCTTATCAGTCGAGATGCCGCCGTATATTCTTCTTTGTTTATTTAATTTAGAAGTGAAAATACTCTAGATTTAAACATATATTTATTTCGTTTAAATAAAGTCGGTATTGCAATGAACAACTTAAAAACGGCATCGTTCCTACTCTCAGGTTTATCGGTCAGAAATAAATTTGCCAACAAGAGAGAAGATGAATACAACTTTCCGGTGAAAAGTATCTTCTTCATTTGTGGAATAGGGTGGGAAGAACAATTTTAATTACGCCTATAATGAATCGGAGTTTAACGTCTATTGAGCAAGTGGAAAGAAGCCACGCAGAGTCCAATGCCTGGTTTATCTACAATTTGATTTAAAAAATATACAGTCTACAATTCTACGCGTTGTTGAATAGTAAAACAAATATTAACGGTTAGTACGTATCAAACATAATATTTGAAAATGAAATTAAACGGATTGTTACGCCCCTCTTGTGGTACATGATCTTATTGCATACAATTTTCGGAGGTAAATCGGAACCACATGTAGATTTTGATATATATTTCATTGCGTCAGAAAATTTCAAAGTGAACCTTTATAGCTCATTTAAACTTTCTTTTGCCAAAATTGGTACCAAACATTTAATTCTAATTGAATATCACGACCTTTCTAAATAGGGGCGTATAACATTGATAGTTTTGTAATGGACTAGTTAGTCCAAGTTGTTCAGATGTAAACCATGCTAAAAATTGAGAGAAAATTTGAACTGTTTTTAGTTTTTGTGATTTAACGCGTAATAAAGCTTTGTGTTTCTGATATACAATCGTGTTCTGTAAGCGTTTGTTGGTGATTCTAGTGCAAAAGTCGTCTTTGAAAGTATTTGAAATACCATACTTATGACAATACTGAATTAAAAAAAAAATGTTTACCAAAATTTTGTAAACTGAACCACTCTTTTGACTGCATTATTTTCCACTTTTGCAATTGTCTTATATTCAGTTGTCCTGTGGTGTTCTACTTGGATATAAGGCATTTTGACGTACTACTTTGGATATAAGGCATTTTGAAGTACTACTTGTGGCGTACTACTTTGGACATACGGCATTTTGACGTACTACTTGTGGCGTACTACTTTGGATATAAGGCATTTTGAGTACTACGTGGATATAAGGTATTTGAAACCATCTAGCTCGCTGGCAAATTTCGACAATTAATCATAGTCTGAAATTATTAAAATTTAAGGCCATCACATCGTCGATTAATTTTTTGTTTGGTCATTTCAATAGAATTTACACATTTAACCTTGTGAATGGAGACAAAATACAAATTGTATATTAAAAGAAAATAATCATTTTAATACCTCGAGTTCGATTTATCTTATTCTGAAAAATAAATCAAATTTAAATGCAAATGACTTCAAATCATCGTTTGTTTGGTTGGTCATTTCAATAGAATTTACACTTTCTTTTACCGAGAATGTATTATTGTATCACGTTCGATTACTGCATTCGGCTTACATCAGAGGTGACACAAGTCAAAGTTAATTTATATCGTTTAAGATATGAAGTAATAATGAGTTAACTAGGTGTCAATAGTTATATATTTATATGTACTAGTAGTGACAGTGATCAGATATATTGACCACAACCAATCCATCAAATACATAATCAGATCTGGTCATTCACACTTCAGTACGATGTACTAGCATTGTTTCGACACACTACATGTCGTGGCCCGTCTTCATTAGCTCAGTAAGACACAAATATGACGGACATAAGACACCATCGGAATCCATTTCTTAGACAAAGCATACTTAAGGTCACTAGAAGGGTACGAAATTATAATTTTGGTTGTCCTGGCGTGTGTTATATCGAACCGCCCAGGATAACCGTTTACTCGAAAATATGTGTACGTATGTTTCTCAATTGCGTAAAATGTTCTCCTTCAGATATGGTTTTGAGCGTATGAATTTCTGAGCCTTCAGGAATCAATGTTCTTCTATTCTGAAGGGTTTCAATTGTTCCAAAACCGCTACGTACGATGTGAGACACCAATTTCGCGGGTATGATATCCTATGTGCGTTATTGTTCAGATTCTGATTCTGATACAAGAAAGAAATCGAGAAAAAAGATACCTTTTCACATGCAATAGTATACATTTTGCACAAAAACATAATGGTATTTTAGTTGATTTAAATATTGGTATATCCAAAACCTTGCATTTAACGCCATATTGATACATATTGCATCATATAATATAAGGGATATAAATAGGAAACTCCTTCTTTAATTGATATGACACATATTATTCTACTGATATACTTTATAACTTGGGTTGTTTATAATCTGTCAATGGTTTCCAACGTTTCTGATAAATAAAGTTAAATATATATACAAATTGTATATAAACATAAGTTATATTCCTTGCGATTACATGATATAATAAATAATATTTATATACAAACATATATTAAAGTTTATAGAATCAGATATTGCTCTTGGCAGTGGAACATCTTGATTATGGAAAGTTCACGAGTTAGTGCCCTGGCTGTGGTTTCAGTGAAAACTTTTACCATCAGATGTGATGTGAAAATCGCCGCTTAGCAATGACATATGAAATATGGTTCTGGCTTATTCTGTCGTGTGAAATCGTTTTTGACTTAAAACACCTTCTAGATCTTAGTCTTTCAAAGTTAAAAGAAAACTGTTGTTCATTATTTTAATAATTCAAACTTCTGATGTCCGTTGACTAACTAAAAATACAGAAAATATCCACCTATTGACACTTTGATGTTTGAGTTAGTTTCAAAGATTGGGAAGTGAATTTGACCTTTTGAAAAAGAAATACTTCGAAATGTCACTTTCACAAAGGTTTTATGGTATTACAGAATCAGAACCTTCCCAATGGAAGACTAATACCAACCATTCCAACATCGAAAGTTTTGAGAAAAAAAACTATGAATTCTTTCAGGAACATTTGAATATAAAGAAAATGTTATGCTTCTTACATTAGTTTGAAGATGGTATTACTTCCTCATGTGAAATAATCATTAGCTTCTACCAATGTCTCGCCAAATGTTGTTTTGGATTTCGTGTTTCGTTTTGCGGTTCGGACTGTTAGTACTTGGTTTATTGATTAAACGTTATTATATTAAACGTGTAATACCTTTTAATTTATTTTCCATTGCAGGAACTTAGGAGTTCATCACTTTGATACCATTAGGAAAAATAACCTGTATATGTTAGCAGCTCAGCCTATGTGTACGGAATTACAAGGATTATCTCCGGGACAAATACGTTTCTGTCGAGTGTACCACGATCATATGCCAAGTATTGGCCGAGGTGCACAATTAGGAATACATGAATGTCAGTATCAGTTCAGGAACAGAAGGTGGAACTGTAGTACTGTTGATGATTCCTCTGTCTTTGGTCCAGTGCTAAATATAGGTAAGTCTTTGATATATATTACAAGCGAAACAATTCCAGTAACCAAATATTTCATCCAAACCATGACGGATTCGGAAGCAATAATGGTATAGTTGTAGACTCCTCAAACGAGAAGTACCATTAGGTGTTTTGAAAAGAGTTAATGAACCTCTCTTGTACTGGACTTTCTGTTCTTTCCAGTCCTTAACCATGAACACAAAATAATAAGATGGCTTTGCAATGTTCCTGGCCGATTTGTAAGACTTGTTGTATCTTTTGGATTAATAATACGAATACAAAAGAATGGGTGTCAGCTCCATAACAAAAACTGAGACTAAATTATTTCTCCCAGTGTTCAACTATATGTGGATTTTTGTATTTGTATCGCAGGCAGCTTATGATGTCTTCCATTCTATAATTGACTGCTATGTGTAATAGATATAACGGGCATCATAATGTGATAAATAAGCTAAACCGAAAAATTAGGGCGTGTTTTGAGATATATATTTCATTCAATTAAATATAATTTCACGGTATCATGAAATTGCTTATTTCATGTTGAAATTGTGTGAATCTTAATAATATTATACTGGGTAATTGCGATATGATTAGCCTATTTTTACAGATGTCATTAAATTCAGCCTTGAAATAAACTCTCAACTGTGTGATCGAACCCATGACGAATTAATGAAGCAGAAATCTCATTTCTCAGTTTGAACGCTATTAAATATGTGCGAACTGATCATATCTGATGCATATAACAATGACCCGGATTTTAAAAACATTATTTTTCTTTTATTAGTAAATGTTTGATTTCATGTCGCGACATCGTTTAAAAATTTATGGCTCATAATCACAACAGTGAATTTATGCCCCCAACTACAGTGCTTTAATTTAAATGGGTTTGCAGTTGAGTGACAAATGCATTAAATTACACCGCATAAAGAGATCTAAATCTAATAAAAATCCAATAAAAAATCACATTATGGACACAAAACATAATGGGCATTGTGCATTTGTTAAAATTACATTAAAAGATCTGATAAAGGAAATAATCCATTTTAAAGCAAGTTGCAGTCTTAGCTTATTCGCAATGAACTTTTCGATGTGGTAACGAAGCTTCGATGATACACAATAAATGTGTACAATGTGAACATGAATTGGTTAAATATTACAAAAGATCATACACATTGGTTTTTTTTTGTCTTCGGCAAAAGTTACAAATGAAAGAGACATAAATATAATTTGATCACAAATTGCTGTGGATCCTACTTACTTTCCTTTATGCCAAGTAAAATCAGATCGTGACGAGTTCGGGTAGCTTGAGATGAGTTTACACATGATTAACTGGGTTAAACCTGGCTATAATGGTCAGTGTGGGTGTTCGTCTTACCGAATTCTACAGAGCTCATCATGGACCGTAAGAATTTAAGATCTGACACCAAAAGTCTGTAGATAAATCTAGTGTATCGTAAACAGATGAAATCAGTCTGGTACGGATTTCAGTATGAATCCCGAGTATTCACCTTAGACCATCGAATCAAGGGGATCGTATGTCTGGTTCCATTCCCCTTCAGACCTGCCATTTCCGTCCTGCTGCGTCCGACTGTTTGTATGATTGTCTGTATGCTATGTATAATTTTTATAATTGATGTATGACATTTATCAGGTGAAGTTACATTGACATTTTCTCCATGTTATTCAACATTCGCTAGAAAACGGATAGCATTACTTCAACAAATAACACCTCTTGGTTGAGCAAAGAGTTGTAACTCTAGAAGACTTATTAACTTTTTCAACAGGTGGTGCTAAGTAACAGATCGGGATAATTATACCATGGTCTGTGGTAGAGACGATTATAAACCAACAAAAAATATTGGGCAGAACACTTATTTACTACTTCGTTTAAAAATGGCATTTAGGCAGGGCGTGAGTAAAAAAAAAAATACACATTTTTGTTAAAAATTGGCTCCACAAATGTTCGGTGAATGTGGCAAATTCTTACAAGTAAACGAAAGAAACTAACAGTTTTGGATTTCACTAGCATATATAAGAAAATTTTGCGAATAGCCGTTAGGGCTTCTGGTTGGAGATATGTAGAAAATGAGGTCGTACTGGAGATTTGGGAACTCCCTTGGCCTTCTATGAAACTGGTTGTCGCCACAACTTCTGAGCAATTTGAAAGTAACAATTGAAAACGTATGACTCTCTTTGTATTCTATTCTTAGCTTAATTCAAAGAAATGTATTAAAAATGAAATCATGTGCGTATTTTGGTTGTTTGCAGATGTAACATTTTCTTGTGAATTCATAACTGTTATTTATTTATAGTTTTTCTTTAATCGCTGGCATATTTGATAAAAACTATCCCAATTGGGAGCCACATTACATAATACCTCCGATCGCAAAGAAAAAAATCATAGTCTTCACGTATGTGGAAATAATAATTGTCAATATATTACTTCCTTTGGTATTTATAATCCAAAAGTGACTGTTTTGGTAGGTTTGAGTTTGATCGTCTCTGGTGTTAAGCCGCGAATAGGGCGGTGTAGAATAATCGATACGATTCGTTTCTTCTATTTTCTACTGTATCGACAATACCACACCGGTCTACTCTCACCTTAACCCGGGTTTCAGTCCTTTGTAAAGTAGTAGGTGTATACAAGTAACTGAGAAGAACTTGATGACTCTTGCCGCAATCTTGACACCATCTAGAGTTATTACTATGGATATGTTAGGGTCAGGCATGTCATTATGTACTACAGGGCGCTAAAAAAAACTTACATTTTCTCTGCCACATACTCAATTAAAAGTCAAAGTTGAGACCAATTAAAGATAGTTTGTTTAACTTTCTTTTAACTCGATACCTGACAAAGTTTCATCATTTGTTTTGTGGGGCGAGGTACTCAAGTGTCAGTGACCAAACGTAACGCGAGCAGTACTTCTGACGGTATTGTCAAATTTTGTTGAATATACCACGAGTACAATATATGGGCCATCATCACAATGGTCAAGGTGTTACAAACTTAGTAGTTACACTTTGACCATTTGTGTAGATGGTTATGGACATACTCTTTCACTTAATATATATTTTTTAGGGTCCATAAAATACCTTCGGAAATCAATTCCATACGCTAAATTGGACTAAGTAGGAGGTTTTATCAGCCAGGTTTTGGGTAGCTATAATTGAATAATATTTCTACAAAAGGAATCATTTCACAGCGCAACCTTAGTCACAGAGCCTTTAAAAAAGTTCCCTTCAGGAGAACACCGTACCCCCTTCTCCTGCTCAAGATCGACTCTGCTTTCTGCTTGTCTTTAAAATGTTAATAAATATGCAGTCGTGGCTTCTAAAATAAATTTTGAAAATTTGGCCAATCCTTTCAGACCAACAAGTAATAATCCCCCAAAATCTGGAAACGATACATTTTGTCCAAAAATGGCGTTGAGTTTCCCATACTCATAAACATTTCAAATTTTTCGTAAATTTGTCTGTTAGTTTAAAAAAAGTTCATGGCAAGAATACAAGATAAAACTGAAATGAAAAAGAGATTTGTCTTCTTTTCTTGACAATCCTTCAGTTAAATGGCTTACTAGAGGTGTTTTAGTGGTATTAAGGAGCATTAACCACTACTTGAAGTACTTGTAACCTATGGATAACATCTTGACTATGTGTATTTAGTTGCTCTTTAATAGTTTCGAGTGTTTGTTTACCTCAATAATATAATTATCATACTCTTTACCTTCTAACTGTTTACATAATAAACGCTGATGACACGGTGAATGGATAAGGAGTTATCGAAAAGTCAAAAGGTGGAAAATGTCTGCGCATAATTACAACGAAAATACTTTCATTGTATACCAAGAATGGATATCACCGCTTTCTAAATCTACCACGATAGGAATAACTATATGTACACGAATCAGAAATATTAAAACAGAACCTAAAAAATCATGTTGTTACTCAGAGTTTCACGCTATGCGATCTTCAGACAACAGACCTACTTTCAACAGGGGTTCCTACATGAATCATATAGAAGGCGCCGAAGTATTTCAGAACCCGATCGAATTATGGTTCTGGAAATTATGCGAGCGTAAGGTCACTGTCGTGTGCTAGGTTTACTCTCTTGACAGGCATACTAAAACATTAAAATAACAATATATGCCCGAATACTCATACCAAACTATCAAGCATAGACTTTTCATTATTAAATACTTACTTACTCATGGTTGATATACTTCCCCATGTGAAAAGTTTATTAGCTGCAACCAATGTTTCGCCAAAATGTTTTGTGGATTTCGGATTTCGTTTGTGATTCGCATCGTTAGTACTTAGTTTAATTATACAAGTCTTTGCCTTCGCTCAATTGGTTCGCCCTTTCTTTGGCCCATGGTTTGAAATTAAACCTAATTGATTAAAAAATAGGACTATCATATAGGCTCATGTCGGAGTGAGGTGCGGGCTAGTCGAAATTTATCAGATTTATTATCGAATCAGATTTATGTGACGTAAAACTCCTCAATTATTCATTCATTCGATATTGGCCTGAATTTGTTGTATATGATTTATGTGCTCTTAAACAACTCTTATTTAGCCTTCTTATCTTCAACTAATACTATACTAGTAAGAAATTTAATAAAAAATTTGCTACAATAGGATTAGGGAATATTTGTCACGCTCTCTCGACGACCTATGAAGATTTGTCGTGTAAGGAGTTAATGAAACGCAGGTTTGTTTGTTTGGTGATAAGATGAAGAAATCTGCTCGGATCAGAGTAAGATTTTATCTTGGGTAATTAATAAATAGATAACAGGCTTACAACTGGTTACTCCTATACGATATTGGGGGAAATAGAAAATAGGGTTACAACGTTATGGATTGTGACTACTTCTTACGAAGGTATCACACACACCAAAATATCTTAATTTACATGTATGCGTTTAATCAATTGAATCAGCTTGAAATAAAAAAAAATCCGCTTGTGCTTCTGACGCTGTGCCGACATTGCATGAAGTTGCTTGTAGTAGTGCCACACCATGATTTTCTCTTTTCGAAACACCTAGTGGTACGTCTCTTTGCAGGAGACCACTACCACAAAACTTTTACCCTCGATTTTGCCATACTTTGGACTAGATCTTGATTATAGGAATTTTATTGCTCAAATTACTGACCCAAATCAGGTGGAGAAAAGATATTATGTTGGATTAAGCATTATCTCAAAATTCGTTAACATACTTCGCTCATGTTGATTGTGGGGATCGTCAGTTGACAGAAGCCAATCTTTGAACCTATACAACATACCATTCGCTCTTCGATCCTTGGCGTGAGCTGAAACCCTATTTCAGCAATGCATTACTATCCCGATACGACTATCGACAACTACCTAGTCTGCAATATCAGCTTCTATTGGAAGCGGTTATTAACTTGTCATATACCGACAAATGCAATATCAGCTTCTGCTGAATGCGTACGTTAACATGCCGTATACTAACAACGACCTTATCTGAAATATCAGTTTCTGTTGGAATCGTACGTTAACTTGTCATTTACCAACCGATCAACCCACCAAAGATCCCCAAAAGGCTGTCAAAAGTGACCAAATTTATTAAAAGATTGTTATTGAAGCTGTATATAATGAGGTTGTCAATTATTATAGGTCAACAATGGCAGATCCCTACTACCATACTTGTGGTCACTCAAATTCATTCAGTAACTCCTTAAAAACCTAATTTGATTTAGCGACCAAAACATAATACAATAGACCAGGCATACCACTGCGTTGAGGTTTGAATGATATCGAGGATATTGGTTTGAATTCAATTAAGATGAATACGAATAGAGCCAATTACTTATGTCTATAGTGTATACAGGAGTTTGAATAGCCCCGTGACTGGATGAAAAGTTCGATCTAATGGGATTTCAAAGTATATGGAAATTATATTTCAGAGTTTTGTCGCGTTCACAGTGAATGGGTTTTTAGAGTAATACCGTAATTGAGAACTAGCCGTCATTCTATAAATCTGATTAATGAATAACGTATCGTATGACCTTTATGGCCCACATAATTATTTGAATCCATCTATATAAATTATCAATATATCGGAATAACCAAAGTTCTACTTGCCGATTTTCTTCCCTTTCCAGTCAATTTGATTTTTTTCCTCTTATGCGTAATGTCAAAGTTTGGACAGTTAACATTCCGAAAAAAGCTGTCCATCCGAAAAGCGTTTCGCTATCATGAAATGAGCTTTAGTCAGCTTAATCCTTCAGACTTTATCATCTGTCTTAATGGTGAAATCCCTTCATTGAGATGCAGTCAATCTTCAACTGGTTCTGTTCATTAAAAATTTAAATTTGCTAAGGAATAGGAAGTCGTACAGTGGAAAGAGATTTTGTTTTACCCGCTGTTAAAGCTCAGTTTCGTACAGTAATATAACAAGCCCGGTTTTGCTAATTAATTAGATTTTTTAAATCTTTTTTTTTTAAAATGATTTATTTCATTTGTGAACAAAAATAGCAAAAAAAGGTACAAAAAACGAAATGCCACTCAATTGTCTTCGATCAATGATTTTGCTATGCAATTTAGTGCAATACGTCAAAAATGATGAAATATAAAGACGTATATACCATCTACCATTAATCAAACAAAATCATTAACTGTCTATAGAATTTTTAAAAAAAAGTCTTCTAAAAACGTCCCGACCATAGTAATTGCTATATACTTTATGTTTTAATGAATTGTAGGTCCATAAAACTAACAAACCCATTCAAACAAAAACACAAGTACTTCATCAATCTAAATAGACTTGTCACCCTTCTGATGTAAACTTGTTTACATTAGTGCTAATTAAATTATTAATATATCGTTTATCATGTAGCTAATATGTTGTAAGGGTCACAGATTACCCTCTGCATATGTTGTGCCATTAATCAAAGAAAAGCGATATACCAGACGTAATGTTTAAAGAGATGCGTTCGTTAGGTTAAGTGAATTGTTGAATTATGTAACCTAAGCTAATGCATTGGATAGACAGAGGTTACAATTTTGGAACTCGGCATAGGCACCTAGTAGTTTCCGAAACAATGTATTGTTATACGATACGATCACCAGCAAATGATTTAGATACAACTAATACATGTATCATACCGAGAGCAAACATAGAAATTCTTTTTGTCTGGTCTGGGAAAGGATGTCACTTCTCAAGGATCTTTCAAACCTGTTGGCCCTTGACAAAACTTCTTGGTATTGAAATTTTCAGAATTATCGTACCATACACAATTTGGTCGACTGTAATGGGTTGGAAGAGAGAGCTTACCCTCATTTTATTCGCGGACTCAAAAAATTTGCTAACATTTTGGATATCGTCCAATGTAGCTCTCTGCCGTTTTACTTTTGCAAGATTGACTATATTCGTGTATTAATGATGGAATTGTCCCTTTAACATCATTCGGTGCGAGTTCAATATTATTTCATATGGAAAATCATTTAAAGTAAGAAAGGGTCATAAGGTCGTAAATTTTATCTCATTTTACAGTAGAACTGAGATGATATCTACAGAACTACGTAATGTTCTTGTCACATTTTTTTTACTTTCTGAGTGTGAATGTACGCTATTCGTATACTTATCAAATTACCCACTAAACGTTTTTCGCTACGTAGACTATCAAGAAAGGGGTGCCGAGGTTGATAAAACCTATTGGAGAGTATCAAAACCTGTTCCGAAAAGGACATTATCTTCTGTTACATACATAATCTACCCACCGTACCTTGTATAGAGGTTTTTGATTACATAAAGGCCTTGGTCGTCGAAACAAAATATAAAGCAAAACATCTGTTTAAAACAGCACAAATAAATTTAGCGACGTTGACGGAATGACTGAATGAAGCCGTTTTCAAGTTGGATAGACGTTTTATGGAATAAGAAGGAAGTGTTAAAAGTATTTTATTGAAAAAGCACACACAAATTCAAATCAATATCTTGTTTTTCCTGTTTCTTTCAGTACCCCATTTTTAAGTAAAATAAATCAAGTATGATACCTTAAAAATATAATAAATGGCTGGTATAGTATATTATCTTCAACATAAGACAAGTTTAATAGTTTTATCTTTTTGAAACTAATGAGTAACAAGATACAGACACGTGACGAACTAATGAATAGAAACATTTAACATAACTGAAACAAATTTTATGTTGTAAGGGCACTTAAAGAGTCGTAAATAAAACACATTACCTTCATATGTAATAAATGTAAATAGGAAAATTACTGATATGAACTGTTAAGTACCTTAAATATATACACCAATGTATACAGCAATACACCAATGCATACAGCAATACAGCAATACACTAATATATACAGAAAATATCCATGTACGCGAAAGACAATCTGGCATTGGTGTTGAATGGTATTCGCGCCACCGGATTATTGCTGTCCTTCGCGATATTTTTAATCAGACTGTTTCAAGGCTATATAAAACCACTAGTATAACATTTACTTTACTTACTTAGGCAATGCTTTAAAATCCGCAACTGCAGAGAAAACCACCTCCATTAAATTATGTTTTTTTAGTGCGTACTCATTACTGGATTGGTAAAATTTGTTCAATCAGATACTTGAAGCCCAATCATGTACCCAAATTAAGGCACAAAACACCCATTTTAATCTGATTTCTTTTCTATTTTAGCCAGCAGAGAAGCAGGTTTTACTCATTCAATATCTGCCGCTGGAGTAGTGTACGCCATCAGCAGGGCTTGTCGCGAAGGTGAACTCTCTAAATGTGGATGTAGCAGAGCCAGACGACCAAAAGATCTCCACCGAGATTGGATTTGGGGAGGTTGCGGTGATAATATCGAATACGGTTATAAATTTGCTAAAGCTTTCGTTGATATGAGAGAAAAAGAGAAAAATCATCCCCGCCATTCAAGGGATTTGTCCAGAATGTTAATGAACGTACATAACAATGAAGCGGGAAGAAGGGTGAGTTTTTGTTTCATATTTTGTATATACTTGAACTGTATCTCCAGAAAATAATTATGACAAAAACGAACTAAGTTCCCTTATTGTAGTCTCCAAAGTGAACCAATATCAAGTATATGATTTTTGGCCCAATTATGGAAAGTTAACCCCCATAATCAAACCTAATATTTCGAATATCCGAAAAAAGGTCTGCGATATAAGGAGAGCTATAGTCAATTAAAGAATTTTATGCTCATCCCAGCTAAATAACAAGCGATTGCCGATGCCATAATGTCTTCAGTTTTCAAGCACTATATTAATCGTATAACATCCATGTAAAATCACTTATCAAATGATTGCCAAACGTTGGTGAATTTTTACATCATTAAATTCCAATCTAAGTGAAAATGGCACAAAGTATAGTGTAAAATGACAAACGTGAAAGATATCAACTGATAAGACAGAATATTTGTTGGAGAAATTTTCGCCTTTTTTTTACATACACAAATGAGGAGTATTCGGTTAAAGAAAGTTAAGATAGTTCAGAATTATACATTATATTATAGGCGTCTGAAGCTTTTACTGTCTGTGGTTATAGTTATTCTGCTTGTGAATTCTCAGTTGGAACAGACTGACCAATTGTGACGAAGAGACCATTATTTTTTTGGGTTAAGTTTTTTTTGCTCTGGACTTTTTGTAAAAAATGGACCCACTGACGTGACGAAAATATTTTCGTAACATATGATAGAAGTCAGTGCAGAAGCTCAACCTTCAGCTGCTCATCTAGATGAGTCGGTCCCCCTTTCATATGCTCTCCTGCTTTTTTCTGACTGAAGGTGGGCCCCTTAGGAGTAGGCGCCCGTGGACTTGGTTAAACCCGTCCCTATGATAGTTGAGTCACTGTCAACTGGATAACATCTTTGGTATGGGGCATGTGAAGTGTCTTCTGCTAAATCGACCGACAGGGCAACCGACAACAGTCTCAGTCGAAATAAATTCCGTTTTGTCATTACATACGAGTACTGAAGATTAAACTTCAATGCCAATTTATCACCAAGCTTTGTAATAAATCGAAACTAGAGCAAACAGAATGCTATATTATATGATTTTTCTTTCAACACACATTTACTTTTATTACAGAACCACACAAACGTTTCCACTATTAACTCGTTTTTAAGAATATTGTGAAAAGTTTTCACATTCCTTGTGCAATAAAATAAACTAGGCATGCAATGTAAGAATGTCTGTATGCTATCTCAACATCATTTCAAAATACCATATGTTCATTTCACTTATCAATTTGTTAGGCTGGCTGAAAAAACTATCAAAAAGTGGCAAACAGTTCTATTTCCTAGACAGTTATGTGATAAGGTTTCTGGGTTGATTTTCCGATTGAAAGTAAGCGATTCTTGATTATTATATTACTGTAAAATCATATATTATTGTTGCTAGCAAATTTATTGATGAAGCATAATTGTTATGTATTCTATTAGCAAATGAATGGAAAGACTATATCGTTTTAATAGGAACTGCATGGAAGGCAGATAGCTGAATGCCATTTCGTTTGAATCTATTTGATGAACGAATCAAGGAACACATCGTATCATCCCATCTTGAACCATCCCACCATCATGAATTAAATTTTCCACTTAAGAAATGTATGGGGGAGGTATAGATAAGTATCTTGTTCTGAAAAATAACCAAATTGATATAAGACATTATTGAACTAATCAAATGAAGTAGAAATATTTTCGTTGCCAAAAGCCACACACATAAATAACCACTTGTGGTGGCGGGGAACCGTCGACTACATGTTTGGTATCTCTTTATCAGAATAGACTACAAATATTTTCTTTGAATAAGCTATTTGATTAGACAGTAGAAAAACTATATTTGAATTAGTTTGATTACTTGTTATTATGTATAACTCCTAGTTGATTTTAGATCATTAGAATTTGTTATTTTGACTGCATTGATAGAATAAATAACAACTTACTGTTGTTATCAATTTGATTCTTTCCTAGATATGTCAGACTGGGCACGTTAAAGGTTCCTGGTAAGTTGGATATCGAACAAGATTAATGGCACTCTCATCACATAATTTCCTTAATTGAACATTTCACGGGGCTGTCTGTGTTCAGTGGACTAAATAACAGTGTCTCGAATACGATCTTACACAGCTTCATATTGGTCAATTACTTGTATGTTCATGGTAAACAGTCCATTGAGCCAAATAGCTTGTCTTCAGTTCATTGATATTTCTGAACCAAACAGATAACGTATTACCTGTAGTTCCTAGATAATTCTGAACCAAACAGTTGACTTCTGTCTGTAGTTCATAGATAATTCTGAACCAAATAGTTAACGTATTACCTGCAGTTCATTGATATTTCAGGACCAAACAATCCAAACCAAACTTCTGCCTGTAGTTCATAGATAATTCTGAACCAAATAGTTTACTTTTTGATTGGTCGTCATTGGTATTTCTAAAACCAACAATTTACTTCAGTTAACTGATATTTCCGAACGAAAAAAAAAGATTTTGGTTTTCCTTCAAGAAACCATCAGAGTCATGTCACCCCGGCCTCTAACGTTATGGAACAAATTTGAAAATTATCTAGAATTTAAAATATAAGATGTAAATAGGTTAATGGAGTAAATATGTCAATATGATGTACAACGTCTATGTTTGCTGCACTATGGTGTGAAATTTCAGATTCGTTTCTTGTTTTTATGTTAAATACCTAATCCACAACATTCAAATTTGCTCTGAGAGTAGTTACGCTATTTCCAAAATAATAAATAGGCTTGTCACTTTTCGTACGATAAACACGTTACAGTTTTATCTCTCAAGTCGATTAGTTCAAGATGAAATAAGGTGGAAGGTTTTTTTTAATGGAAGAACTGAGGTGGTTGATGCTAGTGTCCCGTAGTGCATACTCATTGAATCTGGGGTTTCGGTTATCGTTTTCAGTGCAAGGGATGGCCTGCTACTTCAATGCAACTATATGTAAAGTAATTATGAAAAATGGTTGAATGGAATTGCAACATGTATCATTATTTTTAGAACATGCAGAAATTATTTAAGTGCAAATACGCAAGATAATTACTCATATTAAGAACTTCAAAACATTTTCTTAATATACATTATAGTGAAATTAACATTTTTATCAAAATCAAAGCGAAGGTGACCGACATAATAAATAAAAATAAGTATGATTATCAAAGCTGTGGTTGTGGCCTGGTGGCTGACTGAGTGCCATCCGTATGTTTGAAAAACCCTTACAATCTATGACTACTTGTAAAGACGGCAACTTGGATTATCGAGAATCCTGTCTACCTGCTGATACTGTCTTGCAAAGTTCTTAGCTAGATTTTCAGCTGAACTGGCGATTGAGAATAGGTTGAAATATAACATCAGTGTTTGTGTATTTCAGTTGGGAGTCATAGCGTATGATGTTATCTCAAACTTAATTATTACATAATTATTTAAAATGTAATGAATTGAACTGAGGTTTGTTTGAGCATCTGGTCATTAAAAAACGGTTTGACACTTCGATATGTAAGTATTGGTCTAAGGAAGGCGTAGATCACAATCATGTACTCCATGAACATTTATATGATCTCAATTTATCAAACTTACCTTCCTAGTCTTCTGATGGAAAGCATATTCTAGTCATACGTATATCATCTGATAACAAACTGGAACCATTTGGTAGTAATTCCACGCAAACAGACTTCAGATATGCTTTGCATATTCACCAGAAGACGTCATGAAATGTGGGTGTTAAGCATATGTACAGACAAAACAAGTAAACAAATACTGGAGGGTGCTCTTTGTCAGTCCTACCCACAAGACAAATAAACAAATAAACATGTAAACAATCGTGAGTGTTGTAAACAATGTTCTTTTTGCAACATTTGAATATCAGAACCTACTGTTTATGGATTTTGGCACTATGAATGCATGACCTTAAAAATTGCCCATGCGTTTATCGCTCGATCTCGGCTGTTGGGCATCAGTTTTCCACTAAATGTAAGGATGAACCAAAGCGACCGTTGGTTGAAAGTAGCTCACTGTCTCGCTGCCTATATTTAGGAAGAAATAGGCTTGACAGTATTTCTGAGATTTCGTGAGTTTATTTCCATCTATTCGTGTTGTGGCAAGCCAATTCGCCGTAGGGCAATCCTGGATGCAGATGGTTCTTTAATGTGCAGAATCATAAATTATAAGGTGTATCATACTCTGACATATGCCACCAAGCCTCAGATATGGCATGTACATAACAATTTAAACCAGGATATCTTCTTTAGTCCAATTAAATCACTTCCAGAACCTTTTATGGATGATTAAGGTTCATGTTATAAACACTTTAATTATTGGGTATACGATTGAAAATATAGGGAACGTCTTAAAGAAAATCGGGTCATTTAGAAAATAACACATATTTTTTAAATTAAAGACGAATATTTTACGGTTGAAACAAAGCAAGTGGAATGATTGGACTGACAAGCTGAAACTTTGGGAACAATGAAAAATTCACTAGCCACATACTTATCCTTTTATATCTGGTTGGTTTGGTGGGTGGGACAATAAAAATACTCATTTGGTTACAATACGACAATTTTCCTGTTGTTTATTACTGCCGACAAATTGATGTCAGTATTTTATAGACTATAATAGCTATCTAATTACATCTTTCTACTCTTCTTAATCCACGTACTTTTTTACATCTAAATATACATTTGATGGACATTTATCACGAAATTTATTAGACTATTAAACATTATATTTGGCCTTTGTGAAATGTGGAAAATTTTGAGATTTTAAAAATGCATTGCACATCATTTGTGTGTTATATGCAGACGATATAAATATATAGTTATACATACTGAATATTATGTATTGAATTGACTGAAAGTTTGTTTGTGATTTTATTTTGCTAGTATGTTATGTAAGCAATGTATATTCGGTTGCGTAACAGAAAAGATGTATGATATAACTAGCTAGCTGAGTTTCC